TATTGTGAGAATCATTAATCAGATTTTCGAAATCGATACTTTCAGAAAATCAATTTTTTTCCGCCCTTGCCCCACATTGCGGCGCCATATAGCAAATCGATAGGATATTTTAATAAGTTGTCTATTGGTCACCTTCCACTTTGCTCAATTTCTTCATAGTTTTCTAGTTATTTTTGATTTTTGGGCAAGAAGCATGGGTTTTTACGAGCTTTTGGAGGTCTGTGGGTTAAAAGGTTGAGAAAATATGCATTTCCAAAGTTGGCAAGTTTTTCGTGACAAAACCAGGTTGTCGTTTTTTTTGATGGGCCGTGTAGTTCTAGCGATGTAAGGCTGACTGAGCTTGATGCTCCATATATTGTCCATTCGTTTATCTTATTACAAGCCTTTTCAAGGATTTTGATTGAAAGGTTGATAGTCGGTCCTACTGGTGTCACCGCTGTGTCATTGCAAACGTTGCAATTTTTACTCTATCTATTTTTGGAAAATAACAAGTAAAGCAGTGAACCTAATATGCTACCAATCAATTAATTAAGATTTTAAGTTGAGATAAAAAAGTCAGTGTGACGAGCGGGATTCGAACACACGACCTTCGGCTTGATACGCCGCTACTCTACTACTTGAGCTATCGTGACTTCGATCTACTCAGACGCTAACTTCCCATCTCAACCAACCTTTTTGAATTTTCCCTCCTTTTTGCCAGTTTTCAAATGTCGTGTAATCTATTTGATTCTCGGCGACAAATGAAATGGTCACGGAGAGCTTTAATGAAGTATACTTCATTTTAATTCATTACTCATTTAATGAATTAATTAAGGTTTTAAGTTGAGATAAAAAAATTGAAAAATGGCAAAAAGTAGGGAAAATTCAAAAAGGTGTGGTTGAGATGGGAAGTTGGAGCCCGAGGGGATCTCTCAAATGGTAGAGTAGCGGCGGATCAAGCCGAATGTCCTGGGTTCGAATCCCGCTCGTGACACTGGCTTTTTTATCTCAACTTAAAACCTTAATTAATTATTTGGTCAAGCGGGCCACGAAAAATAGTGAATCTAATATGCTACCTTGTGGCACTCTTGCCTTTATGTCGATCGCTCTTCGAAATGTCGTATTGTCCGGTGATAGCCCTAGCACCTTTACCTTTCTTTTTAGGATGAACGGTGATATATTCTGTAGCCATTTAATTTAAAAAATAACTGTTTTTGTTAAGTGGATTTTAAATAATAAGCAAATATCAATTGTCTGCTGATTTAAGATATTTTTTTTAACCTAGGATGCCATTTGCATTCCAAGTTGCTATTTTAAGATCTTGTCGGCTCATCAGTTTTAAATTATCTTGCTTTTTGTTTTTCTAGTCAGCCAGAAAGTTTGGTCATCGCGGTGGTTATGTTGGCCATCATTTCTACCACATACTTCAACTACATAACATGGGCATATATAAACCCGATTTGGACATTATGTAATGAGGAGGAAGAACCAGCCACCCATATCATCTTCGAAAACGATGCAACGGCTCAATGGAGACATAACCAATCATATAGTAAAAACATAGGGAATGAAATTGTAGCAGCAACAGTCAATGATAAGAAATAGATTTCTCAAAATCTAATACTTCTGAGAAGATCTAGTATCCTCATCACCATCATCATCTGCTCCTGACTGTACAGTGACATTGTTTGTCTGATGTCTGTACGGGCTACTTTTGCGTAGGGGTCTTCTTTTTTATTTGAACTGGGCCAAGGAGCCCTTACTACTCCAGAATCACTTTGTTATACAGATATGACATATTTATTGCATAGAGGAGTAATGATATCGTAAACCAGAGACTGGTACATCAATTGCATATGAAACGGTAATTAAATAACGTAACATCTCACCTAATAACGTAACACCACAAATGGACAGCAAGATTTTAACAGGGGTTTATTATAACTAACTTTCTATTTATAAAAACATCCCGGTAATCAATGATTTGTTGGAAATAATATAACTGATAAACAATACCTTCTTTTTAAGAAGAACAACAGGAATTTTGGACCAAAACAACTAGTTAATTTCACTGATTTGGTATTGAACCTATGTCGGTTCAATGTTAGGTGAGGGAATGTGTAGATTGGTAAAATACAACCGATTTGAGCTATTAGGAATGTCTATTATTTACGATGACAATTTAATTAACAGTGCATAAGGGGTTTTCATGGTTCTGGTCAGGGGTATTCAATTTGAAAATCCCCAGGCTGCTTAGAGTTCAACCGTTGATATCAAGGATGTGACAGCACTTTTTACCATCTTAAAAAAATTTAAATGTATCTGTTCCTATGATGTCTGGAGATACTAGCGACTATGTGTCTATTCATGGTTCTGGTCAGAGGTATTCGATTTGAAAATCCCCAGGTTGTTTGAACTTCAACCGATGATATCAAGGATCGGATAGCACTTTTTACCATCTTAAAAAAAAATTAAATGTGCTTGTTCCTATGATGTCTGGAGTTACTAGCGATTATGTATCTATTCATGGTTCAGGTCAGGGGGATTCAATTTGAAAATCCCCAGGCTGTTTAAAGTTCAACCGTTGATATCAAGGATCGGATAGCACTTTTTACCATTAAAAAAAAATTGAATGTGCCAGTTCCTATGATGTCTGGAGTGACTAGCGATTATGTATCTATTCATGGTTCAGGTCAGGGGGATTCAATTTGAAAATCCCCAGGCTGTTTGAAGTTCAACCGTTGATATCAAGGATCGGATAGCACTTTTCACCATTTAAAAAAAAATTGAATGTGCCAGTTCCTATGATGTCTGAAACTTAGAGACTATGTGTCTATCCATGAGCCTAGTAAATCTTATAGCTCGTTCCTGTTGCGATTCCCTACAAAAAATAATGGGTTTCTTTCAAGCAAATTGAGACTGGGTATGGAAAATGCATTCTTTGCGACAACGTAGCCTCGTCTGCACGGTTAGCTGGGGCAATCATAGGTTTACGTCCGAAGAAGAGTTCAGCGTTTAGTGGGATTCGAAGGGACAGGTATACTTTTGAGTTTCATCCATAAAACCAAACTGTAAACCGACATCTTCTGCTCTGACTTATCTAAATAGGGGTTTGAGGAAAATCGCCCAGACTGACAATAAAAGGTGTGATGTTTCATCACGACAATGCTCAGCTCGTTTCTTTACTCGCCTATAATAAAATCCTGAGTTTTGGTCGAGTGGTTTTACTACATCCACTTTATTTGTCTAACTACTGCCTTACTTGAGACTACTTATTCTGCTCCCTCAATATTTAAATTTTTAAAAAAAGAAAATCCTACGCTACAGACTAGGACAAGAAAAACGATCTGATATTCCTCAGAAATCATAATAGCTATTGTAATATGTTACTCTTTATTTTTTATCCAATTAAATAATGTAATTAAACTATAGTTTTTTTATTTTTGGCTTTGGATATAAGCTAGATGGTACCTAATCATCATCATATAATTTTCATGGGCGGACCGGTGTTAAGGGGGAATGTAGGAAGTGCCTACTATGACCCAATTAAGAACTACAAAAAAGAAATAATCGATTTTTACTGCCGAAATGTATGCGCTGACAAGAGCCCTTATGTATGCTGCCACGTTGGATGGGAATTTATAAAGCAGATCGAGCAATTTTACGAAAAAACGCAAGGTCTGATTATCTCCTAGCGGAAATCGTTAATGCCATACACGACGAGTCTCACCACAAAAAGGTAGTTTTTTGCTGGAGTCGGGGACATTGTGGCATCCATGGTAATGAGGTAGTAGACCGATTGGCGAAAAAAAGCGACAAAGAACCGAGAATATCACAATCACACAAGCACACAGACGGACGCAAAACGCCTATTCATCAAACATTTGATGCATGAACGGAGGACCTGGCACACCCAGGGAACTGCGGATTTGCTATATATATATATCCATATTCCCGGAAATGGGATCAAAACCATGTTCTCTGGAAATTATAGCACAAAATAATTTTTTACATCGATATCTCGTATTCACTGAAACCATTGCGTGTGCGGTGCATAGATGTAAAAATTTTCCCGTACAGCTGCTCGAAACTGCGAGACGTGCGATGGACCGAAAAACCTAAAGCGTATAATTTTAATATGCCCAGAATAGTGAAAAGTCAAGACAGAAATTTTTCCACCCGGAAATTTTTTGTGAAAAATTTTGAGCGAACGTTTTGCCTGGAAGCTTGCTTTAAACTGGAAATCTGGAAGCGTATAAATTGATATGTGCATTTTTGAAGATTTGTGATATTAATGTGTGATACTGTGATATAAATTGTAGTGTCGTTGTAGTTGTGTATTATGGTAGTTCATTATGCTTCGTGGTCCGATTGACCAAATAACCTCTTTCAATTAATTAATTTTTATGTAAGGTTGAGATAAAAAAGTCAGTGTCACGGGCGGGATTCGAACCCACGACCTTCGGCTTCGTACGCCGCTACGCTACCACTTGAGCTATCGCGAATTCGATCCACTCGGACACCAACGTATGGTAATTATTTACTTATGTGTAAAACTATTTATTATGTGATGTGTACTTATGTATTTATTATATAATGTGTACTATTGCTATATGCTTAAAGCAAAGCCATATAATAAAAAACATATAGTTTTTTTCATTATTTTATCTTCGTATTGATCTATGTATTAATTTCACACACAGGAACGTACAGATACACATGTACAACTACTTAATAATTAATTTGTACAACGTATGCTTCAACGTAATCAATCATATAAATAAAAATATTTAATTCTAAATTACTAAAATTTTAAAATGTTTGAAATGTCTATTATATTCTAATGTATAATTTTCCAGGTTTTTCCATTGTTTAAGTAAATATGCATAGAGTTAGCAGTTGTTGTTTTTCATTTTGTTGTTGTTGCGAGTGAAAGGGGAGCAAAGAGTTTAGAAAAATTGTTCGCAAAAATAATAAGTAAATCGAAGTTTTATTTATAAAAGGTACTTAAAAAATCTTACCGTTAAGATCCTGAGAATGAGAGTAGTGTTCTGGAAATCGTACTCCAGACTGAAGTGAATCTGTCCGACGTTTTCAGATGGCTCAGAGTTGTCGATGTACATGTCCACCAAGGATATCGATCTGCTTTGGAGGAAAGCCATCTGAAACGGGATGAAAATTGTCAATTTTTACTGAACATCCCTTACTCTAAACTGTTAGATTAAAGGAAATATTATACTTACGGAAGGGTCTTCCCCGCCCTTGACATAATTTTATATTACTTTTTATAATTAAAGGGATGAAGATAAAGGGTATGGAAAGATTTGAACTCACCGAAGGATGTTCTCCTCCTTTGACATTGTGAAGAGCTTTGTGAGGTGCGGGTGGTGTTTTCGAGTCCGGTCCTGTTGCTCCTGGAGTCGTCCCTCCAGGAGACTTGCTCCCACCGCTTCCTGTAGTGCTGAAACAGCATAACCTCATTCAGTACAAATTCTTTTTATTTTCCAAAAACACTTAACACATCACGACACCAAACTATCTCTAAATTAAGTAGGAAGTTATAATCCAGAAGAAGAACCGGTAAAAACGGCCCGTAAAGGTTTATCTGTTGCTCAAGAAACAATTTTTCATGTTCTATTGATGAGGACAAAATCTACCAAACTAATTTGACGATTATTGTTATATAATGAATAATGTTTTTTTGTCTGAACTGGTTCGTATGTACAAAATTGCAGATCGAGGAAAGTACAACAGTTTGCCTACATTATTCAAATAATCTTAAACAATTTTTTTTCTAATAACTTTAAGAATTCGTTTTATGTTTTCCTGACTTGAAGTTCAGAAATACCTCAATTTCATAGTATCTCCAACAATCTCTGGTAATTAAAAGTAGTATATTTAAATTCACTAATTTCGTGGTCCCCTTGATCAATTAAATCATTACAATTAATTAAGGTTTTTAGTTGAGATGAAAAAAAGTTAATGGCACGAGAGGGATTCGAACCCACGACCTTGGGCTAGATACGCCGCTGCTCTACCACCTGAGCTATCGTGACCTCGATCCACTCGGACATCAACTCCCCATCTCAACCCCACCTTATGAGTTTTCAAAACTGGATCGAGGTCACGATAGCTCAGGTGGTAGAGCAGCGGCGAATCTAGCCGAAGGTCGTGGGTTCGAATCCCTCTCGTTCCATTAACTTTTTTTCATCTCAACTAAAAACCTTAATTAATTGTAGTATATTTAACTTGTTCCAAAAGTTTCCCCTAAATTCAGGAAAAGCTTCATTCATGAAAAATGACGATCGATCGTTTGTTTTTTACGACGAGCTTTGTACATATTTTTGATATGCGGTTATAAGCCATTAAAGGTCATTTCTTTCAAGTACATCATTGGTGGCTGTTTACATTTTAATTGTCTTTAATAAATCCAATTAGAAAAGCGGACATGAATTTGTAAACCAGGCTTTCACCGGGGTTTAATGATTAAATCTCATTTTGTGAACCTCCGCTCTTAGGCTGTTTTAATTACGCCGTTTTACGAAACGCAAATCCCTTTTGGAAAGTGATAAGGCACCGATTTAATAAATTCTGAACCTATTATAAACCGTGTTTCCGGCGTTAATTTCCGCCTGCCGGATATTGCAAATTGCAAATGGCCTATTTGTACTAAATTTCACTGATCTGCGTTGTAAATTAAGTCAAAAATAACATGGTAGTGGTATGACAGTTTTCCCGAGATTTACAATGCAAATCTACTTTTATTAGTGTTGTATAATTAAATTACCTGTTCGACCGAAAAAAACCGTTCCAGAGTATATTAAAATCAAATTAATTCGTCAGGAAAATAAAATTTCCTACTCAAAAATACAATGAAATATTAAGTTGTTATTTATCACATTAGGAAATAAAATTATACATATATTTACTATCGTACAGCTATGTAGATGACTCACCATAATAACATCAACCATCGAACAACATAAATCACAGACAGATCTGAGATAATTAAACAAAAACATAAAATTCAAGTCAGAAGTAGAAAACATTGACAGTATAAATTTCCTAGACTTCAGAGTCACTAAATCTGACAACAAACTAAGATTATACATATACAGAAAACCAGCAGCAACCGACATCATGCTAGCGAGTCAAACCACCCCCACTGACATTAAACGGATAGCACTGAAATACTTGACAGATAAATAAAACAGTAACACTGGTAAATGATAACCCAAAGAAAAGAACTAAAACAGGAAAATCAATGGCTCCTAATATAGCTAAAACAAAAAATAATAAACTGAATGACATAAAAAAAACAGACACCAAATAGACTGTTAAGATTAAAGAAAGAAATGTACAAACTAACAAAATTACGATTAAAAACAGCTTTTTTATGTTTTAAATCTAAAATTTTCTAGCATTGTATAAATTCCATTTTTTTTTAAATCTAAAATTTCTAGCATTTTATAAATTCATTTTTTTATATCCTACATGTATTTGTAAAATTTAAACAATATTTATAAATCCCAGGGCCTGAAGATGATCTCAATAAAGATCGAAACGTTGGCACGATAAAGAAAATGTTTTTCTAAAAATCTACGTCACATCAGACCGCATCTCACGATCTCCAAATAAAAAACGGTCATTAAAAACAACACTGAATACCACGAACACAATCGGAAAGGTAAAAAAAAAAATACAATCGATACGATCAATTATAAGATCGTTTAAATGACGAAAATTCTCGGCGACTCACCCTGCAGAAAAGCGGAGAAAAAACGCGATTTCTTTTTTTCATTTTGCACGATAGTGACATAAAACACCCACCAATCTACACTTCAATAAAATATAGTGATATGGCTCGATAGTTTTACTATTTTTTGAGAGTGCACTTTGAAATTTATCTCTTATAAAGACAATAAAAAAGAGCAGTATCTGTCAGGAAGGACTGGGTAGAACAGTTCCAACTCAGATAGACCAGTTACAGCCTCATAAACCTGTTTTCTATCTATTTTTTTTACGAGAGTTCTCAATAGGAGAGGTAATAAAAAACCCTCAGAGTGCCGGTGTTTTTGAAGAATTTGTAAGTATGTCGGGTTCGAATGCAGGGCCGCTGGATTCGAACCCGGGACCTTCACTTTATTGTGATGAGTGCCGTGTCAACGACTAAACCGTTGCGGGCACCGACGCCCCCTTTTTTTTGTTAAACTTCTCCTTTCCCGCTGATCAAATTCAGAACAACATATAAACCACGGATAAAACACAAATGAAAATTAAAGTATCCTACTCTTCGTTGAAACGTTCGACATAAGATCGACTAACAGCAAATAATCAATGCTTAACTCAACCAAAGTTTTTTAAACTTATCCTCACTCTTCCGATAAATTAGACAAGTTTGCCAACTTTACGCCTCTTGGGAATCCGATCGTGTACAGCCAACAAGTTGTTTTGATGATGCTCCACTCTTGAGTTTTAATTACTGTGGGACAATTTATTTCTTCATATTGTCGAGTCGTGGCTTTTCTCAAAGCGTACGATTTGTACTTTCCGTTAAAATATGATGAATGTTTTTTTATTTTATCAAGAAAAACGAATTTTTTAGATTACAAAGCCCTGTTGCCTTTTGCACTTAAAAAATTAAAGTGTGCAGTAGTTGCTGGAAAGTTTCTCCCGGAAAGAATAATGACACAACCCACTTATGAGCAAGATGTCAATTTGATCAATTGGCCTAAAGATTCTGGAAGAACAAAAATCTATTGATATTTAATCTGTGAGCTTGCAACTTAATTCGAACTTAGAAAAACTATTGGATTGCCAATACACAGTTTCGCTATTTTGTAACTGTTCTTGGTACTCTAGGTTATCTTGTATGGTTATGTTATGTTATGTATGTTGGTTTTATATCTTCATCGTGCGGTTGCTTCACTTTCAAAGATGATAAGAATAGCAGTTTCTTCCACCTTATCGCATAACCTACAGAGTCATCACCCATACCCATGTTTTAAGGCGTTTTCACAGATGCCAGTGACCACCTACCATTCTCCTGAGTTTTACACTGTGTCAATGTGCTGTTTTTAACAAGTGTACCAAAAAGTTTACTATGTCTGGCATCTCTGGATTTGTCCTTTTTTTGTGAACTGAGATTGAAAAATATTGTTTTGATCAAATTTACTATTTTCGTGGTCCGCTTGACCAATTAATACTTTACAATTAATTAAGGTTTTTAGTTGAGATGAAAAAAAGTTAATGGCACGAGAGGGATTCGAACGCACGACCTTCGGCTTGATACGCCGCTGCTCTACCACCTGCGCTATCGTGACCTCTATCCACTCGGACATCCACTCTCCACCTCTACCTCACCTTATGAGTTTTCTCTCCTTTTGCCATTTTTCAAATGTCGTGTAATCGGTTTGGATTCTCGACGACAATTGAAATGGCGACGGAGAGCTTTAGTGAAGTGTACTTTATATTAATTAATTAAATTCACTATTTTCGTGGTCCGCTTGACCAACTAATACTTTACAATTAATTAAGGTTTTTAGTTGAGATGAAAAAAAGTTAATGGCACGAGAGGGATTCGAACCCACGACCTTCGGCTTGATACGCCGCTGCTCTACCACCTGAGCTATCGTGACCTTGATCCACTCGGACATCAACTCCCCACCTCAACCCCACCTTATGAGTTTTCCCTTCTTTTGCCGTTTTTCAAATGTCGTGTAATCGGTTTGGATTCTCCAATTGAAATGGCGACGGAGAGCTTTAGTGAAGTGTACTCCATTTTAATTCATTAAATTCACTATTTTCGTGGTCCGCGTATCAAGCCGAAGGTCGTGGGTTCGAATCCCTCTCGTGCCATTAACTTTTTTCATCTCAACGAAAAACCTTAATTGTAAAATTGTTTTGATCGTTGTGTCCCAGTTATAGAATCTGGGCCTAGAAATGATATTTCCGATCATCCTCTGGCCAATTTGTCTGCTGCTCATTAAAAGTTCTTTGTGCCCTGGTACCAAAGAATCAAGTTGCTGTTTCCATAGATTTTTGATATTTTGCTTGTATTCACCGAAAATTCTAGATGTTATGTTTTTCAGTGCTATTGCTTTTTGAGCCGCTTGGCTGTCTGATTTTATGAGGAATTGTTTTTAAGTGTAATCCTTTTAAGATTTTTTATCGCACAAGCATCGATAGCATGTCTGATCTTGAAAGTCTGAGGTGTTCTTCCCTAATAAGTCTGTTTGATCACCTGACTCGGTTCCAACACTGGTTTTAGCGCTATCTGCATACCATGTATATTTGATTTATTCTTCTCCTTTGTACTCTATTAAAATTTCATGAATATTACTGAGATATATCTAGGAATGGGTGTCAATTTATTAAAAAATTTCAAAGCATAATTAGGTTACTATGCTTTTAAAACGTTAAAGATGATAGTCGTTACTTGTTGTCACATTTATCCATATT